GATGCGGACGGCTGCGGGGCGAGGGATAGCTTATCCCTTGGCCTTATCCCTCGCCTTTGGGGACTTATCCCTGATCCGCGCGGCCGGGGGGCGGCTGTACGGAGCGTGCACTGCGTCCTGGCCGGTGTCAGCGTTCAAACGTTCAACGTCGGTGTGGGGCTTGGAGGTAGGAGAGTGGGAGTGAAGTCCGGGGGCGGCCTTCCTCCGCTCCCGGGGCTGCCAGTGTTGGGCACCGAAGGGGCGTCGGAAGAATGGGTGCCTCGCAGACACGCACATGGATCCGGAGCCGGTGGGGCTGAGGCGGTCGCCCCTCGTGTTTGTGTCCGCCGTCGCAGGACTCGGCCGTTCTGGACACCGGACGGCACACCGACGCTCGACGTTCGAGATTGAAGCAACTCCGGAGTCCACGATGAAGGTCGGCTTTTGGCTCTGCTCTGCTGTGCCACCTCCGCACCTCCACCGGCAGCCCATGTACGGTGCCACCTAGCCTGCCCTGCCCTGCCCCGCCGGCCTTCCGTATACGTGCAGCACGGGCCCCCGACCTCGACCTCGACGCGCCCAACGCAAACCCAACGTTATGTGACGGCACGCGCCCGCCGCCGACGCCACCGGCCCGCCTGGAACCGCCGCGACAGACCGAAGCTGCCCACTACTAGCATGACCCCAGAGTTGAGAAATGGGAGCGCCCGCAAGATCAAACCATGAGAATCTCGACCATCTCTGTTGCGATAGTCTTCGGATTTCGTACACATATTGGTAGTGTCATAAGAAATCAGTGTGCAAAGTTTCAAAGGAAACTGGTACGTATTGCGCCCCCAGTGGACGAACCGGCCGCGGACCCTAGAGTTGAGAAATTTCGCCGAGGCTTAGTCACGGTGCGGGTCACGCAGCCGACATCAACTCCGCTCGGCTAGGCTGTCAGATACGTCCAGGGATGACAGCATCCTCCCCAACGACAACGTCGGAGACTGAAATTCACTCACGTTCTGTGGCCGAAGTCACGCTTGAACTGACCCAAAGTGCGTTTTCGCCTCCCTCCCACAGATATCATGCCGGAGAATTCGAATTGGGGCAGCCACGCTTCATCCAATACCCCTCACGCAGCTTCAACATAAGCGCTGGTCATGGGATCGTAGCCGACGGGTATCAAATCTTCGACTTTTCTCATTTGAGAGATGTTTGCGAAAGATCGTGCTTGTTTCTGCACGGAACGACGTCGTTCTTTTTGAAAACGAAAGTGAGAACATGTTCCTACCAGCGTGTGAATTTTCAACATTATCGGACGAGGGACGGGACCGCCAGACCAGATTTCTCAACACTGGGGGCATTTCTCATCACTGGGGTCGGACTAGTAGAGCCCCAAGTGGCTAGTGCCCCGGGGGCCGGTGGGACGGGGGAAGACGCCGGGGATCAAACACTCGCCCGCCCTTGACGTGGGCGCGCGAGAGACGAGCCACGACGTCCATGTGCTCGCGCGGAGGGTTCACTAGGGTTCGTCGCGGGCGCCGCGCTAGCACTAGCAGCGTCAGGGCGAAGGAGCGACGGCGTGTGGGCGAAGCGTTTGGGTTGGAACAGGACGGCGCGAGGTGCCGTGAGGGCCCGGTGGTGGTGCGATTCGGGAGGGGTCGACGAGCGCGAAGGGAGGTGCGTGGACGCTCGACGATGGCTATTCGGCCTATGTGGTGTGCTAGAGCTGGCGCTGACCTTGCTCCTGCCTCTCTCGCGCCGCTCGGGATAGTAGGATCCACACTCTAGAGCGGCCGGCGAGGCCATCTCGTATCGCGCGCCGACGCGCCGACGCAAGCTTTGTCGCGCGCGCGGTGGCTATCTCCTGGCCATTCCTACTCGGGTGCCTTCAGCTCGCACACCCGCGCAACTCAATGCGCATATCTGGCTAACTTACTAGGCGTATCTGGAGTTCTCACTACGCTGGGGTGGAGGCTTGTGATTGCGCTCGGGCCCGACGTTTCTCCTTCAACTCTCAAGGCCTCAAGCTTCACGGCTCACGGCACGGACTCACACCCGCAGCCAAGTGGCAGGAAGCTCTCAGCACCCTCGGAGCAGTACCCACTGCGGCCCGGCGCGCGGGCCGCGCCCCCTGACGGACGCGCGGCGCACAACGTTCGTACTTGGACGGCTTAAGAATCTCTGTCTCCCTCGACATCCGGCGGTGGACGCAACGGAACGTCGACCGTCGAACTCCGAACCGCACCGCGTACGTACCTCCTATCGCGGGAGCGCCGTCACTTTGACTTGTCCTCGGTCCGGCACGCCTGGCGCAGCGTACGTACGTACCCGTTCTGCCCGTTCTGTGTTTTGTTTGTCCTTCTCGCGGGCGCGCCTGACCTCCCGCTCCCATTGGCCCCGCCTGGGGAGCGCGAGGATACGACGTCGGAAGTGGTGCTGAACGTTGAGGCAGCCAATGCGCGCACCCGTGCCGGCGGGCCAATGGGGCCGGGCGAGCGTGGGGCACGGCGGGAACGGGCGGGCGCGGGCCCGCCTTCCTCCGCCGTTCCCTCGTCGTCGGCCGTCGCACGCGCGACCGAGGCCCGAGGCTGGGACGTGGGACGGGCGGCGGCGAGGCTCTCTCGGGACACACACTGAAGAAAGGCGGGAGCGGGGGAGACAGAAGCCGGCGGATGTGGGCGAGACGCACTCGCTCTTGCGCGGACCTCGCGCGCGCGCACTGTGAACGGTCGGACGCGGGCCCGTGCGCACCACGCGCGCGGGGCACGGAGACTGGGCCCGCGGGCCTACATGTGTCGCCTTTCGTACCGCGATACGCGCGCGATCGCGCTCGCGTATCGCGGCCGGCAGCAAAGTCCGCGACGCAGCGCGCGGACCTCCCCCCAGGGCCCGCGCGATGCTTCGCGGTTGGCGAGGGAGCGCGGGCCAATGACGACGGGCCGCCGGTGAATTTTGTACGTGCGTACGCGCGCTAGGTACATCGAGCCGCCGGCGCGGAGTCGGCGTGGCGACGTCCTGCGTGGTGTTTGCGTGCCCACGACGGCTCTCCGCGATGACGCTGCCTGCCGTCTGTATGACATATACGCGCACTGATGGAATTTCGCGGACGCTGGCGACGTCCGATCGGACGAAGCCCGAAGGCGCGAAGCGGGTATCGGGCCTCCTGGTTGAAGTTACGAGAGAGAGAAAGAGCGCGCGCGCTCGGAAGGCAAGCCAAGTCTTGCGCTACGCGAGACTTCGCTCGTCTACGAGCTTCTGAGCCTCTTGATCTGGCGCCGGGCGAGTGAATTTGTCTGCGCCCCGGCGGGACGCTGGAGGAAGCCCCCGCGTTCGTGTCCGGCTTTGTGAGAGCGCGAGGTTTGGCAGGGGGGAGAAGGGCCAATGGCACCAGAGGGCCTGCCGCTCCGCGGGCCCGAGAGGCATGTGCGCATCGCACGGATTGGGACGGGCGGCGCGGAGGCGCGGGACGTGTCGAGATTTTTTTGCTCTTTGAGCTGGTTGTCCGTCCTAGGCGGGCGAGGGTGCGGGACGGGGGCACTGGGCTCGGGGCTCGGGGCTCGGGGCTCGGGGCGCGACCCGACCCGAGCGCGCCGCGCACGACGCGCCCTCCGCCCTGCCGCTTCTCGAGCGATGTCCGCTGGGCGGGCGGGTCGCTGCCGTGGCCGTACGTACGTGCGCGCGCGCACGGCAATAGACGGCGCGGAACGCGCGCCGCGCGCCCGAGGTGCGCGCAGGATGCGGGATATGCAAGTCCGAAGAGGGGCTTGTCGCCCGCGTCGACGATAACGTCCGCCGCGTGTGGGCTTATCGCGGGGGGAGGCCCGCGCGCCGAGGGCGGGAGGCGGGAGAAGCGGACGGGTGCTGACCTCGTCGCCGGTCGGGCGTCGAGGGTGGGCGCGGGTTGAAGAGTTTGAGAGCGAAAGGCGGTATGCACGGTGGGGCTCGGGGCGGGGGCCGGGAGGTGGGTCGGGAGGATCGGTGCGGGCTGAGGGCAGAGTTCGCGGAGATCGCTGCGGTGCTAAAGGTAGAACCTTGAACTCTTGAACTCTGAACGCTGTTCTCGCGGTTCTGCCGATAGCGAGGAAGGCTCCTTTGCGGCGGGAGCAGGTCTCGGCGCACGAGGACGCGTGGCCGGTCAGCTTCGGCGTGGCATCGGTCGAGGACGGGTGTGTCGATTTGGTGGCAGCCACAGACTGTTGTTAGAAACCTGTCCATACGTTTCCTATGTACGGCTTGATAATCAATGAACAGCCGTTTTTGGGTCATTCGTTTAAAACTTCAACGATTGCAGGCGACGATCCTTACCAGTTGGAGCGCCGCCAAGGTTGTTCGAGTAACGGGTGCACTGGGGAGTCCATCCAAGCAGCGGGAACTTAGGAACGAGAGGGCGCGCTGTAGAGTTTACGGCCATCACTGCGCTTGATATCCGCATGCCAACTGAGGAAACCAGGGTTGGGTCTGTACAGTGGTGCGGCTCGCATAGAAGAATCCAACAGCGGTCTGAACGTCATGATCGACAAATTGCGTGGGAGTGCTTTCTGGTGACGATGAGGTTGAACACAAGCCTCGATCACATCCGTGGAAGTGAGGTTAGGCTCTGAATGAGTCATGAAATTCACGATCTCCACTCGCCTAATGTGTCGCAATTAAGCCAGTCTATGAGCCAGACGATCAGTTCCCTGGAACGGTGGATCCGCGCAGAAGAAGAACAGAATGTCGGACTAAATTTTGGACCCACGCGCAAGGAGGCCTCAGCTACTGACGGGGACGTCTTGTGGATCGCATATATTCGCGAAGGTCGGCTTGGAACGCTGTGTATGTCTAATGAGCGAAGTCGATCGAATCTCGGCGAAAGACACACTCGTACAAGTATGCGCGGCGTGATAATGTTGCCCAAGCTGACTGAACGACATGCACCCGTCATGGCCACCAATGGTAGGATGATCATTCGTAACGGGCTGGTCTTACATCGTACCCGACGGCGCTCTCTGCTAACCCCCTCCCCTTGCTGGACCCATCCGGTCGCGCGAGGCTCACAGGCGAGTGACGGACCACTCGAGTACATGGAACGGCGCGTCGGTGTTGTCCGGGTACGTCCCGAACAGCGTCTGCCCGCCGATGTCCGCGCGGAGCCGCGCGCGGACCTCGCAGCGTCCGCCGGCGTCGGCGAAGAGGCCCTCCCACATCTCGCGCCAGCTGTCGGGGCAGTGGCAGTTCATGCGCGTGCCCGGCGCGGGGCACCAGAGCGCCTTCTCGGCCTTGCCGCCCTGCACGCCGAAGAGCATCGCGCCGGGGTGCGGCGCGAGGAGGCCCATGAGGAGGCGCGCGATCGCGGTCTGCTGGTCGTAGGTGAAGAGGTGGAAGAAGGCGCCGAGGAAGACGGCGGAGACGCGGCCGTGCAGGGCGGTGAGCGAGGTGACGGAGGCGAGCGCGGGCGCGGGCGTGGAGGGCGGGTCTGGGGACGTCGGGAGGAGGGGCGCGGGGGCGAGGAAGGCCGGGTTGAGGATGTCGCCTTGGAGGAGTGGGACGGGGAAGGTGGCGGGGGTGGAGCGGAAGAGCTCGTGGCCGAACTCCCAGAGTGCTTGGGATGGACTGTGAGCGGAACTGGAAGGAGGGAGGGAGGCGGATGCATGCGCTCACCGGGATGGAGGTCGGAGGCAATGGCGTTCTCGACAGGCCAACCGTCTACTACAGCCTTACGGACGTCATTCCCGACTAGATTGATGCGGACAAGACACTCAAAGACAGAACTGGAGTGCACTATAGGGGCGACGTACAGCAAGTACCCATATCGAGGAAGATCGCGTCCTTGCGGTCCTTTCCCAACTGCAGGAACTGAGGATAAGCAGGGAGCCGAGCTATCTTGAGCCTGATAGTGGGCACATGGTGAGTCCTTGAGGGCTTGAGAGTGCACCGAGACTTGGGCTCACCTCATGAACTCGAACATGCGGATGCACGGATACTTGTGGGCCTATGCGAGAGATCGGCCAAATCGCAGACTTGGAAAATGGGTTGGGACATACGGAGAAAGCCCTGGTCTGTACGGCTATGATGTGTCGCTTGAGCTCCTCGTCGTCTTGAATTCCGGTAGTAGCCTTCATGAACGCCTTCTCCTCTTCATCAGGAGTGTACAATGACTCGTCGAGGGTCTTGTGCCAGGCCGGGCGGTTGTTGTCTCCGGACATTGTTAAGTGGCGCGTACACTGTGGTTGTTGAAGGAGAGCTGGACAGAGAGGATGAGGATGGCGTTGGGGGCCACGGAAAGCCATAAATACCTGCACAGGAGGTGGCTTTCCACGGCGAATGGATCAGGTTCGAGAACGACGGACGACTCGCTCTCACGCTGCGAGACGGGCACCAGTGAAAAGAAGAGGAAGAAGTTGATGGAGAGTGATGGAGCCTTGGAGTCAGTCGATGGGTTTTGGATCCGAGACGTATCATGAGCCGCCGACCACTTGGTAAGAGCGAGGAGGATTACGGACTGCGAAGTGGTGGATGAGCGGAAGAGAGCACGTTCATCCGTCAAACGAGGTCTTACCTGCCACTAGCCACGCTTCCAGTGGGGTAGTCTCATGTCAATCAACTTCTTTGCAATGGCATGCTTCCATTCACACCAACGCGCAGGCAGCGTCGGAGACGGCTCTCCGGTAGCAGCATTGAGACGAGGGCATGGCGTCTGTGGAAACACCTGAGTTGTATGAACGTGCTGGCGTGAATCTGTGGGTACAACTGTCGACTCGACCTGGGGCCCAAGACCTTGTTCAAAGCCGCAAATTGTACTGATCAAGGGTCGGATCGTTCCTGCAGGCTTCATATTGAGTAAGTTGGTATGTTTCGCTTTAAACAATAGCCTCAAAACAAGTATGTTTACCGGTACGATCATTTGAGTAAGCCAGCTTTGACAGATGCTGCCTGACGCGCTCCTGAGGCGCCGGCTGGTTGATGATGTCAGCGCTTGAGCGATGTCCACGTGACCTCCTTCTGACACCAGCGAAGCGCGCGCTCAGTGCTGTTCCCCTCGACCTCCTCATTCTTTTGATACTCAGGGAGATATGCGTTTCGTTTCGTTCAAGTGTCTAGACACCTGGGTAACATCTGGGAGAGACCAAGGTTGGGTTATGGACATTAAGCGCTCATCTGAGTGGGACAACAACTAACGTCATTCCGTCCTGTTGGCAATGGGATTTCTGCTGGGCTCAAACCCGCACGCCGCGTGGTAACTTTAAACTGGTTCGGCGTCGACCCCGACGTAAGTGACGTCCTGGCTACCCCTCGCCGTCCAATCGTGCGCAGGGACACACGCACCCACGACACGCTCAACAGGAATGACGGCTCCTCCGGACCCCTCTAGGATGAGTGAGGTTCGAACGAGGCGCGAGGAACGAGCGCCTCGGCCGAACGGGTGCTTTCTAGGCGTGGGTTGCCGGTGGTTGCCGGATGAGGGAGACGCGCGCTAGCGCGCTAAAGGCTATCGCCTCTCGTCTCCTCCCGCATCGCACCCACGCAGCTCAAAGCGCATATAGTCACTAGAAATACGAGAAAACGCTCAAAAATGGTCAACCAACCCAACACAAGCGGTTCTTACCACCCGCAAGGCGTGGAAAAGCCCGAAGCTCAAGCTTACGGCACCGGCAAAGCCTGGAAGGCTCCCCCTGGCGCCGGGCAATCGCTTAGCTTCTTCGGTGATCACACGCACGCATCGTCTATCACCACAGGCACGGTACCACGGGTCAGCATGGATCCCGCAACCGCGGAGGGCGAAGGTTCTGGCCGGCCGCGCGGCAGCGCAGGCGGCCCCGCACGTGGTGAGCGGATCGACGCCGAGAAAGGGGTAGACCGCGGAGATGGCGGAGCGCACATCGAGGAGATGGCCGACGAGGAGATGATCGACGAGGACGCTGGCCAAGAGGATGTCGATGACCAGGGAGACGCCGATGGTCAGACGGACATGGCAGTGGACGAGTACGGCGAGGACGAGTTGGACGATGACATGGCCGAGCCCATAGGCCCTCTCAAGGAGGGCGCGAATGAGGTGGAGGTGCAGGAGTGGAGCATCGCGCTCCTAATGGAGCAAGGCTATTCTCGGCCCCAGGCCGTGTCGATGTACATTGACCAGAAGGCCGAGGCCGAACAAGAGTACCTCGACAGGGAGCGAGCAAGGCTCATCGCAGAAAGGGAGCAGGCGGTGATGGACGAGCAAGAGCGGAAGAAGAGGAAGGCCGCGAGGGCGGAAGAGCGGGAGCGCCAGGCGCGCAAGGAGGCCGCGCGCGAGGAGGCCGCACGTGAAGATGCCGCGCGCGAAGAGGCCGCGCGCGAGGCCGCACGCGAAGAGGCCGCACGCGAAGTTGCCGCGCGCGAGAGGTCCGCTCGTCAAAAGCGCGCCGGGGCGGCAAAGTCGAACACGAACAAGAAGGCCGTGGCGAAGGCTGCGGAAGTCATCCTGAAGACTTTACAGCGGCGCCTGCAGAAGGCTGCGTTGGCGAGCCCGACCAGCCCGCCCGGGGGGAGCCCCCCCCCTTCAAGCAGCGGCTCGGAAGGGGGCGCCGATGCGGCTTTCGATGCCGATGAAGACGCGGAGTCCCTGGTCGGGGATGGAGACGAAGAAGACGACATCTTCTCGAAGAACCGCGCACCCGTGGACCCGCGCCTGAAGACCATGCTGCGGCACGGCTACTACATCCCGCTGTCGGCTATGACGAATGACGCGTTGCGCGGCCTGCGGACCGGAGCGTCGGCACGCAAGCTGATCAAGTCGGAAGCCCTACACGGCGAGAAGAAACACCACATCCTCGACATCTCGACCTTCCCGGACGAGCGTCTGATGCTGAGCGCCGACTGGGAGGAAGCCTGGCGCAACATGCTCGACGGCTGTATGGAGGGAGTCGTGAAGCCAGCGGTCATCGCGCGTTGGCGCGAGCACGTGGAGTACATCAAAAACGAGGCCGACTTCAAGGTCTCGTTCCCCGCGCTTCGGGCATTCGACATGGAACTGCGCTACACCTGGTTCACAGAGGCCCCCGGGAAGAAATCAGCCTTCTTCGTCGGCAGCCAGACGTACGTGAAGGCAATGATGCTCGCGCGTCACCAGTACACGAGCTTCGGCGTCGGCACACACCCAACCGGAGGACGCACAGCCCCTTCGGACTCGCGCGGACAGCGGAACGGGGGCAGGTACTCGGGCGGCGGGAGCGGCTACAATGGCGGAGGCTACCCGGGCGGCCAAGCCGGCAGCGGTTACACTGGCGGCAACTCTGGCGGCAATCAGGCTGGCGGCAGCTCCGGTGGGAACGCCAACGGGAGCGGCTCGGGGGGCGGACACCCTGGGGGCTCAGGCGGGAAGGACAAGCAGCAGCCCTTTCAGCAAGGCAGGCAGCCTTTCGGCCGCGGGATGTTCTGCCTCAACTGCAACAGGGACGGCCACCGAGCGAGCAAGTGCAACTCGCAATTCAGCGCTGCCGGCAAACCCGCCTTCATCTACGGAAAGGGCATCAAACTGTTCACACGCGACGGGAACCACGAGATCTGTTCCGCCTGGAACGTGGGCGGAATTCTCCCTTGCAAGTCGACTTGGTGCCCGAACACGCACGACTGCCACCGGTGCACCTTCTGTGGTAGTCCCGACCATCCCGCAACGCAATTCGTGTGCACCCGTGCGTGAGCGCGTCACGTCGCCCTACGATCCGGACGCTTGGGAGTCGGCGCTGGACGAGCTTGGCATCAGACACAAGCACCCTTTCTTGGCGCGCTGGATGCGCGAAGGCTTCCCTCTTGGCGACATGTCCCCCATCCTGCACACGACTGTTCATGACAACTACCCGGGGGCCGAGACACACGCAGACTTTATCGAAAATTACATCAAGGGGGAGCGCGAAATCGGGCGCATGTCCGGCCCGTACACGCGCGAGGAAGTGGAGGAGATCTTGCAGGGACCGTTCATCTCGTCCCCGCTTTCCGTGGTTCCGAAAGCCAACGGCAAGCTGCGCTTGATCCAAGACTGTTCGAAGGAGGACGAGTACGGCCTGTCGGTCAACGGGAGGATAGACTCTGACCTGTTCCCCACGGTCTGGGGCTCAGCGGCGCACCTCGCAGACTCGGTGAGCACAACTTTCCTTATGGGGCCTCCGCAGATGCGCGCCCGAGGTCATGGCGCAGTCGCGCGGGGTGGGGGCTCAGGAAGCGCAGAGAGCGCGAGCCAGGCGTGGAGAGCGCAGGTCGGGCGCGAGGAGCGCGAGTCGGGCGCGAGGAGCGCGAGTCGAGCGCGGGAGCGCGGGACGAGCGCGGGGAGCGCGGGGCAGGCGCGGGGAGCGCGAGGCAGGCGCGGGGAGCGCGAGGCAGACGCGAGGAGCGCGAGGCGGATGCGAGGAGCGCAAGGCGGATGCGGGGAGCGCAAGGCAGGAGCGCGAGCGCGAGAGCGAGAACCAGGCGCGAGAGCATGAGTCGGGCGCGAGAGCGCGAGCCATGCGCGAGAGTGCAAGTCGGGCGCGGGAGCATGATTCAAACCCGAGAGCCAGAAGGCTAACCAAACGACGTGACTAGATCATCGCGGCACCGCCGGGGACTCAGGGGGCGACGATGGACATCGAGTCGGCTTTCAGAAACATACCAGTATACCCTGGCCACAAAGCGTACATCGTCATTCAAGGGCGGAAGGGCAAGTACGAGATCGACCATGGGGTCCCATTCGGTGTCTCGTCAGGCACAGGCGAGCAAGGGAAAGTGATGGACGCAGTCGTGGACGTCATCGAGGCCGTGGGGATGGGCCGGAACCACAAGTGGGTGGACGACCTCGCCAATCTGCGCTACCCACTCCAGGAGATCGCGCCAGGCGTCTACAAGTACGGGCACGACATCATGGACATCATCGAGCTTACAGCCCAGCTCGGGGTGCGGTGGAGCGCGCCGAAATGCTTCCCCCACGGCGACATAATCGACTACACGGGTTTCCGCTGGTGGATCGCGGCGAAGCGCGTCGGCCTCTCCGACGAGAAGCGGGCCAAGTACCTCGCCAAGACAGAGGCGACGAGGGCGCTCGTTTGCGAGAAGAAGGCGCGCCTCCGCTTCAAGGACGCGCAGAGTCTCCTGGGCACGCTTCAACACATCACCTTCGTCTACGTGACGGGCCGCTCGCGTTTGCCCAGCCTACAGGCCTTTATCGCGAAGTTCGGGGCCAACCCGCGTCCGGAGGCCGAGCGCTACCCGCAGAAGTCGGTAGTCACCGACATCAAGTGGTGGACCGAGACTCTGGGACGCGAGGGCATCACGCGCCAGCTCGTTGCGCGCGGCCCGCCCGTGGACTTCGGCATCTGGGTGGACGCGTCCTCAGAGTGGGGCGTGGGACTCGTCGCGGAGGGCGCGGAGGCCGCCTGGCGGTGGAGGGTCCCCCTGGCGGAGTGGCGAACTGCGGGAAGGGACATCGGCTGGGCGGAAGCGGTGGCAATCGAGCTCGCGGTGCTATGGCTGGAGGGGAAGGACGTGAGGGACGCCGACGCGTGGATCCGGAGCGACAATCAAGGGGTCATCGGCGCCATCGAGAACGGCAAGAGCAGGAACTTTCAGGTGAATCTAGTGATCCAGAGGATCGAAGCGGTCTGCATGGCCAGGAACGTGACGCTCCGGCTGGAGTACGTGGACACGAAAATCAACCTCGCAGATCCGGTGTCTCGCGGCGCCTGGACCGGCAACCCGACCTTCAAACCGAGCTTCGCGCTCCCGCCCGAGTTGGCGCTCTTCCTCGTGCCACATGCCTAAGACGGCGCGAGTCAAAAACGCGCCCGCGCGTGCGGGCGCGCCCGGCAAGGGGAGGGACGCGGACACGCGTGGCGTCGGAACCAGCGCGCACGCCCCCTCACCGCGAGCCCAGACCGGGCGAACTCCGAGAAAACCGAGAGCCGAAAACGAACTAAGACCATCCCCCTACCGACCTTTCGTACGAGCAGATGACCGATTAGCCTTGTGGACCGCACCGAACGCGATAGCTTCGCGGCAGAACCTATTGGGGATTGTACCGCAGAAAGACATCGAAAAAGTATTCATGCTAGTGTTGAATCGACTGGAGCCCGCGACACGGAAATGCTACGGAGCCGGCCTGCTGAGGTACCATCAATACTGCGACGACCGCGAGATAGCCGAAGACGCGCGTTTCCCAGCATCAGACATCTTGATGGCCTGTTTCGTCGCGAGTCACGCGGGTCAGAAGTCCCGGTCTACCATCGACAACTGGGTTGCGGGATCGGGTACTGGCACACCATGAACGGCGCGACCTGGAAATACACCGACATGCGGCTGTTGAAGGCAGTATGCGAGGGGGCAACAAAATGCGCGCCCCGGGGAAAGGACCCGCGGCCACCGGTTACCGTCGCGCACATGCAAGCGCTGCTCCGGCGGCTGGACCTGACTGACACGTTCGACGCCGCGGTCCTGGCAGTGGCGAGCTGCGCGTTCTGGGGGTGCAGACGGTAAGCGCAGACGACGCGCGAAGATCGCGGGCTAACACACACACACAGGCTAGGAGAGCTGACCATTCCGTCAGCGGGAGCATTCCGCGCGGACAGGCACGTCGCGCGCGGGGTGGCAGTCAAGCGAGGCACAGCCACGACAGGTGGCGCCTTCGCGTCTTTCCACATTCCGTGGACGAAGTCAACCAAGCGGCAAGGGGCGGACGTCATCCTTCGGGAGACTGATGTAGAGCCATCACCAGTGAAGGCGCTCACGCACCACCTCCACCTCAACAGCGCAGTGCCGACGGACGCCCCACTCTTCGCGTTTGAGACCCCCGGGGGGACCTGGGCACCAATGACGCGCGACTGGTTCTTAGCGAGATGCCAAGCCGCTTGGAGAGACGAGGGCCTCCCGCCTCTGACCGGGCACTGCTTCCGGATCGGCGGCACGACCGAGTGGCTCATGAGGGGGACAAATCCGGACATTGTGGCGGCGCTGGGCAGCTGGCAGTCGCGCGCTTTCCTCAAGTATTGGCGTAGTATCGAGTGCATTGTACCACTATTCCTGTCCCAGGCGTCGAACTCGGCGAGGGTACTAACAGCGGCAGACTCCATGAAAAAGTGGACTAAGGCCAAAAAACTGTAATTCATACTGTCACGCTCACTGTTTGGGTGAGCCGCGGCTCGGTTTCCGCGACTGTTGGTGTTCGCGTTGGGTTAGTCGCGGCATCCCTCGCGCGGGCGGGAGCGTATCCGTGGGAAGCGGATCGATTGGTTGCAATCGAGCGGGGGTGGGAAGGACCGGGAGGGATCGCGACTCACACTCGCGTTCTGCCCAGCATCGGGCCCGACCTTCCCGGACGGGCGCTCCGCTTTTCCCTCCCGCAGACCAAGACCGAACACGTGGGGCGCTACAGTGACCAGAGCGCCCCTCGGCCATCGTTTCCCCTCACTGCCGGCTTGCCACAAGGTTCCCACCACGCAACTAGGAAGCGTGAGGTTCGAACGAGGCGCGAGGAACGAGCGCCTCGGCCGAACGGGTGCTTTCTAGGCGTGGGTTGCCGGTGGTTGCCGGATGAGGGAGACGCGCGCTAGCGCGCTAAAGGCTATCGCCTCTCGTCTCCTCCCGCATCGCACCCACGCAGCTCAAAGCGCACCCACCCACCACTCCCAGCGCTTTGGTTGTGAGAGTGGCGCAGAACGCGTCGCACTCCGGCCTCGCGCTCAAGCGGACCGTCCGGGATCGCGACTCACACTCGCGTTCTGCCCAGCATCGGGCCCGACCTTCCCGGACGGGCGCTCCGCTTTTCCCTCCCGCAGACCAAGACCGAACACGTGGGGCGCTACAGTGACCAGAGCGCCCCTCGGCCATCGTTTCCCCTCACTGCCGGCTTGCCACAAGGTTCCCACCACGCAACTAGGAAGCCTACAAGATTACCCGCCTTCGTGCCCTGGCCGGACGAGGTTGCGCTCGCTCGCGCACGTCCGCGTCAAGGGGACGGGGCATCGTTCAACGACCCACTGTTTTGAGTGACTATCGTTTTCTCTGGGTCTTCAAGATGAACGTATTTGTGGAACTAGTCGCGTAGTAAAGGGTTCATTTGCAGATAATGAAATGCCACGTCTTCCACATAGGCTCGACCTCATGTTGTGATCACTGATCACGCTGGAGATCTCGATGTCAGGACCACGTGGGCGGCAACACTGGGCGCTCATAGCGTTCACTGCCGCCCACAGATCATCGCCCTGGACGACGTCCTTACCGCAGCACAGTCCTCGGGCTCGGGCCTTCGCAAACTAGCGGGCCTTGGTGACCGAGCTGAAGCGCGCATGCCGCTGTCTCTCAATGCTCCTGCAGACTGCACAGATCATCGAGTCAGTGGTTGGTCCCCGGGCTCTGCTCGCTTGGGGTTGTTCAAATTCAAACTCAAACTCGAGTAAGTCCACTTCTGAAGATCTGAAGCTTCGTACCACTTCAATTGGACGTGTCATACTGATAACAGTGACAGACCATCATTCACCTTATGTAAGGTGCGCCCGACATGGGAACTAGAAGGCACCTTGGCCGCCAGAACGGCAAACCTTGTGCCTCGAGTACGCCTCGAGCAGCGGAGCGGCCTACGTTGTTAGCGCACAGATATTCGTCTGTTCACCCCTTCCCCTTCCCCCCCCATCTATCTCACCGAATTTCCCCAGAAACCCATCCAATGTCTTTTCAACTCTCCGAAGGCAAGCACACCGCGGCGCGCGTTCGTGGGCGCAATGATGGAAAAGTCTTCGTCGCCAAGCTGACCCCGGACCGACTGCGATCCCGTGAGGACGTTCAGCGGGCGATGGACGAGCTTTCTCAGGTCTTAGAACGCCCGGATACCAACGTCAATGATGTGCTCGACTGCATCGCGGGCGAGGGCGCCGTTGGTCTCCTTGAGCTCGTGGTCTCCAGTGAGTTTCGCTCGATCCTTCGCTCCTGCCTTGTTTGCACACCAACATATCTGGTTAGCGTGTTCTGAAGCGGCATTCGACCGCATCTTCGAGGCAGTCCTGCCGCCTCCTCCATACGGCTCCGAATACATGTCCTCCACGACGCTCAAGCTGGTCGAGCGTCTTGCGCGCTCAGGCCTTCCTGAGGATGTAAAGGAGTACAAGGATATCACCTGTCGTACGCTCGCGGTGATACAAGCTACCAATGACTTAATCCTGATCCTGCGCAACAAGAAAGTCGCCGATCCAATTTCCGAACAGCCCAGGGATATTGAAGGAGACGACGGGACGTCCACCGGTACTCAGAGGATCGTCGAATACGGAGCGGCTGTGCCTTCCTCCATTCATGAGGCTAAAAACCTTTTGGAGATCGTGATCTCAGAGCAAGTGGAGATATTGCAGGTACGTCTCTACTTCACTGGATGCACCGTGCCTGAATGTTGATATACCCTCTCTGCGAAGTACTTTCTCCCTGCGCTCCGCTCTATGACGCTCACAGCGTTCTTTTGGGCCGAGTATCTACCGCGTGTCCCTTTGGGTACGGGAGCACGTGTCGCTACATCAGGCGTCAGCCCCAGTGTCTCGTCGACTACGCTTCGAGCACTCGCTCCTGTGGCTGCGTCGACTCGTAATGGCGAGAAGAAGAAGAAGAATGGCTCGACGAAGTGGGACATTGATTTGTCGAAGGAAGCGGACAAGGCTCTTCGACGAGCCGAACGCGCGGGGGGGAACCGTCTTCACATCATCGTCAAGAAGATACAGTGCGTCGTTGAAAAAGGACACGGTCTGTGGTTCAGCCTAACGTTGGGTATACAGCGAATTGCGCGAAGGACACTTTACCCCCGACAACCACAAGATGATATCCGGCTGTGCAGATCGTTTTCCTATCTACGAGGCCAAGATGGATCGGGATTCCCGACTTGTAGTGAGTGATTGAACCATACTATGTGCCGTGCCACATGAATGCTCTTTACCGATATGACTTTCAGTATTACATTGGGCTTATAAAGCTCCCCGAGGTTAGTTGAGTGGAAGCATTGGTCGCTTCAGCTGCTGATCGCTCACTTTTTCCAGGGACAAAAGCAAAGTCTGTGATATCGGTGTGGGTCTCTTCGCACGACTGAGCGGACTTTTCTAGTCATCAATATATGCGGCATCCACACGCACTCCCAGGTCAATAGGAAGCTCTGGAACGATCTAGGGAGGCAGCTCTACCTCAACTATGGCGCCGAATATAGGCAAAGATGCATGGCACGCGAACGATTCAAAGAACGACGTGGAGACCACGTGGTCTTCCCGAAGCTGTTTCCAGATGCAGCGAAACCAGATCCTGTCGCGGGATTGTCGGCATCGACGTCGCAGTCTGCAGAGCTGGTCGCAGTTGACCCCAAAGAAGCTGACGAGGTGAGACAAAATTTTGGGGATCATACTGGGAGTTAAACGTTTTGTGTGATAGTTGCAGTCCTGTTTGACGTATGTGCAATCCTCATACTTCCGAGACCACCGGGCTAATATCACTTCGATATGATGGGTTCAGCCACGCGAAATTCGTCGCCTATGACCGAGTAAGTCGCATTCTCCGCCTACACACATGTCACTGAGTTGAAGTTGCGTCACAGCGCTACCTAGCTTGTGAGCTTTTCCGCGGAGCTTGTGCGTCCGGACACTGATCTTGCGAGAAAACAGCTGTCGTAGCAGGTCTGTCCTGGGATAAGACAAGCGCCGTCTTCCGCCTTCAGTAAGTGTGCCCAAGTACGAACACGAATACCCTAGACTCATGCATGCCCAGACCGGATCAGGAAGAGTTACGGAAACACCAGTCTTCATGCTATGTGCTGGGTACGTTCCGCTATCAGTGGTTCAGACGCCAAACTGATTACTCGACGAAGGACGCAGTGGCACAGGGTGAGTGACGGTCTGTATACTCGAGACAAGAACTGAGGCAAGTGCACATGCAGGAAGACGACGGTTATTGTCTTCAAGATGCTTGACTTCGAGTTTGATCAACAATGGTACAACGACGCCGGTGAACCTCCCCTCCAGCTCTTCATATCCCAGAGCGAGGTCCTCGTCCAACACGTGCGAGGGTACTACGACAAGCTCCGGGAGTCGATCGAGATCGGCAACATGTCGACCACGGCGTTGCACGGGATGGCCGCCAAGCGCGACGAGGATGAGGCGCGGATTGAAAGGCTGGTAGACCTGGACGACGCGGCGGAATGGGCGAAGGACATACCGCAGCGGTACGGCGAGCTCCAGGCCCGCCACTTCCCGCTCTTTTTGAGCTTCCCTCGTGTGCGTTATCATGATCGCTTAGCTTCCTTGTGTCCTGCTGATTACTCAACACATGAACAGCTATGTCACCTGCTGGAGAACGAGTTCCGTCACATCGTTGCCAACGAAACTGTTGAGGCATCGAAACTCGCAGGCCTTCGTAACGCCTTAGGGATCAGACCGAGCGACCGAGTTTCACGCTTCGGTTCGATGGGGAGTCCTCGCCCACAGCTCCTCGACTACGATATGTTCTTGCGCTTGTTCTGGAACCAACATGCCCGGCGATCGAAACACGCTCTCAGTGAGTGAGGCCGCAACTCAGAGAGTCCATAACTGACGTACCGAAATAGGTCCCGAGTTGGTATTCTCGGAAATCATAGGAGTCATCAAAGGGTCCGAAGACGCTATACGCAGTGTTCAAGGATTCCTTAGTAGGGAGACGTACTGTGACACAGCTCAACGCGAAGCGATATACTCCCATTTCGAGTACTATCAGGACAGGAGGAGCCTCATGGTCGGAGTGTGGTACTACGACGCCGCGGATAGGTCAGTTGCTTTCGAAAGCTGAGTTGGCTTACCCTTGTAACGTGCTCTTTTGGCGCACAGAACCAGGGCGCTGATAAGATGTTTGGACATCGTTGGAGTGCCAGGCCTCGCCCTTGCGAACATGTATGTCGTCGAAATGACCCATCACTGGGGATGGCACCGGGCTAACAAATATGCAGCTTTGTCGACGAGTGTCAGGACAATCTATTGGCTGATACGATCCGTGAGTACGGATGCTCGGTCTAAATACACTAGTGTTGACTTTCACTCCCAGTCTTGCGGCACCTCTGTCCAAACCCTCATGGTCTCTTCTGGGCCGGGGACACCGCGCAGACAATCTCCACGAACGGCGGGTTCCGATTCAGCCAACTCAAGGCCTCGAACTATCGTATAGATCAGGTAATGTCGCACGCGTAGCTCGTCCACTTGCAGGCTGAGGTGACACCTCACAAACGCAGCGTATCTACGACGGCAAGAAGCTCGTCCAACCCGATCCCCCCATGTTCCACTTGGCGGTCAACCACAGATCTCACAGCGGCATCGTGCGCTGTGCGCAAGCGGTGGTGAACTTGCTCCTCGAGCACTGGCCCGACTCTATCGACCGTCTCGGGGAAGAGAATGGCTCCTGTCCAGGCCCGGAGCCGCTCTTCATCACGGCAAAAGACCAGAATCAACTCCATGTAGCAGTGTTCAGGACGTCGTGAGTAGTTCTATTGAAGCGTCGATAATAGCCCTAACCTGCCCGAATCATTGGAAGGGAACGAGGGGGCGCGCCCGTAGACTTCGGTGCAAAGCAAGGTAGATCGTTTGCTTTACTGCCCGTGTTCGCAGTGGTCACTCATCGACGTTCGAACAGCCATACTCGTGCGTAATGAGGCCGCAAAGGAACGACTCAAAGATGTTGGGCATGTCTTGTAAGCTTGCCGTGGCGTGCAAGTACTTTTCCTCGTCGTGCTGACCATCTTAAAGAACCATATACCAAAGCAAGGGCCTGGAATTCGATGATGTTTGTCGTGTTACTTCTGTTTGGACGCGTCCGACCTGCTCACAGGGCCACGTTCTGCTATAGGTGTTACTGTACGACTTCTTCGAAGATTCAACAGTGGATGAATCCTCGTGGCGTGTTGTGCAAAGCGGATTGCCCGGGGGCCACATTCCCACGTATGTGGACAGTGGGCTTTGTCGGGAGGTAAGCGAGATGCCTTACGTCGTACACCCGGATCCTTGGGCACTAACGAGTTCGTAGCTGAAGCATTTGTACGTTGCAATGACTCGAGCTCGGAAGAATCTCTGGATTGCGGATAGTTCTTGGCGTGCAGAACCCATGAAGGTGAATCCGTCGTCGTATCATTTCTCGCGTGTTCAAATGTGGCTAACCTCCATTTCATGTAGCAACTTCTGTCGTCTCTAGGTCTGATCAAGATCCATGACCCGGCGAAACCTCTCCCCACCCTGACACAGTCCTCCACTGCCGAGGAATGGGAGACGCAAGCGCGCACCTTCTTCCGCATAAAGCTCTACGCAGAAGCGAAGCGCGACTTCATGCGCGCCGGGATGGAGCACGAGTGCCATGTCGCGGACGCCTACCTCCTCCGCCAAGAGGCCGCCCAGTCGGAGGCCGTCGACGCGCGCACCAGGAACGCCCGCGAGACCGCGTACTGCAGCGCGGCGCGTGCGTTCGTCGCCGTCGCAGACGAGGCGCCAGACTCGTTCGACCGGCAAAACTTCCTCCGCACCGCCGCGATGTGCTTCGTCGACGGCGGGGACACCTTCAGCGCGGCGCAGCAGTACGAGGCGGCGGAGCTGTACGACGAGGCGGCGATGCACTTCCGCAAGGCGGGCAAGTTCGACCACGCGACCCGCGTCCTCAAGCGGCACGAGGTTTCCAAAGAGGTCAGGGAGGGGATTATCAACGTCGCGCGTTTGCATTACATCAAAGAGAACAAGACTGCGTGAGTCGGCGGTACTGATGCTTTACCTGATGGTGATTTCTGACTATATTTCTTGACTGAAGCGAGGCTAGGGAGCTGTTCGAAGACGACGACGAAGTTGTGGAGTACATGGACGACTACGGCCTCAGCACCGCCAGCGCAGCATTCCTCGAGGGTCTCAACAGAAATCAGGAGGCAGCTGAGCGGCTCTTGCGAGAAGGAGACATTCTCAAGGCCGTCGAACTCTTCCTTTTGGATCCGGGCCGTGACATACCGAAGGCTGCGCGGACCGTATTGGATGGTCTTTGGCGGAGGTTGCCTCTCCACGCGCCTAGAGAAATCCTCGCAGATCCTGTCGTAAAGGCCCTACTAGGCCACGCCAAGCGATTGAGTGACTGTCTCCCACAGGATGAGTTCATGGTGGCAAAAGAGGTCAGTGGCATGGTTGATATGCTCGGATCGTGACTGACTGGACGCATAGTTGAGAGTGTTTGATGCGATACGCCGATGCGACCTCTCGACCCTCGAGAAGCTTGGCGGAGGCTTCCTAAAGGACGCGCTAATCCCGCCTGCAATTCTGGCGCTCAACTACGTGTTCGCAGAAAAATTCTCCCTCATCGAATCTGCAGTAGAATGCAAGACAACCCTGAAGGAGGAGGAGTACAAGAAGACCCTCGAGGACGCAACCAAGCCACTTACAACTATCCTCAAGAAATCGGAACACGAAGGCATCCAAACGTTCTTCCAGTCCTTCTTAGGATACGCTCGCGAAGTCCAACGCCTGTCATGCGATCCGGATCCGTGCGCAAACGGGTCCCTGCAAAAATTGTTCAACTTTAAGCCACACACAAGCGACGACCATTTCGAAGTGCCGCAGTCCTCTTCCCTATTCGCGTCCTGCCGGACACTTGCCTCGACCACCGAAGGGCAGTTTCTCGTCGTCAGCCGATGGTCGTTGGAAGAAGTCGTTAAGAAGGACTTGCGTACTCTGCTCCAGCGGAGAGTGCAAGCACAGAAGGAAGTCGCGTATTCGCTCCACTATCTCAAACCATGCATGCAGTCGGCGGCTCTCAACACGAAATGCACACGTAGAGATTGCCCCAACTTTCACGTCCATCCCAACCCGTCAGATGCCATCACGACATACAATCGCGTCGTTCACATACACGTGTTGGAGATCATGATATACCACACACTATATGCCACCGACATCAGATATGCCGAACGCACAAGGCAGCAACGGTAAGAGATCTCGTGACTATTTCTTCTGGTTTCAAATTTAAATACCTCATCATCAGAGCTTGGCTTCGAAGACTATACGAGGCGCTCCTTCCATCGACCGTGACCCTTGGATCCCTTCATCTACTCATGAGTACCGTTGGAATACACCTTCCTGACGCACATCGCGTCGTGGTACAGTGGATTCAAGACCTCCTCAATCGACTTCACCCGGTTTGGCAGCGGCCCTCTGAGGCATTTCTCACGAATTTCATGCGCGCAACGCGACTTGCGATGCTTTTCGACCGACAAACCGCTGTGCGAGACCTTCGCCGTGTTCCTCCGTTGGTTCGTAGCAGATGGTGGCTACAAGAACTCGTACAACAATCGCCAGGATGCCCCCGGCCCAGAAACCATTACATTCTGGACAAGTTCGTTACGTCAATGATCCGCCAGACTCCGTTGTCGCTCCAGGACGGGATTACATTCGTCGAGTGCGTATAAACTTTTCGTCGCTTGTACATGGTTACTCACCAGTCATTATCTTCAGCCATCTTCTTTCCCGTCGTATACCCATCGACATCAGTGTCCTGTGCGACTACCTGGATCAACTATGCGGCGCGCTTGCGACGGCTGCTCTGCTCCACCATAAGGGGTCGCTCGACTGCTTGACTGTCCCAAAGAGCTGGTTAGTGCAGGTTCTCCGCGACCTAGGAGCGAAGGACCAGACTCCTCAACATGTCTCGCGGCCTCAGCAATATGGCCTATGCCTTGAGAGGCTCTTGTTTGTGCTCAGCCAGAGCGGTCCATCTGCGGGTATACTTCATTCCATCATCACTCTCCGCATTGTCTTCCTGTGTTCTGAGTTTATCTTTCGGTCCTGCAGAATATCTGATGTCAGAAAATATTCGACTCTCCGACTCTCGTCCTGTCGGCTTCAAGCATCGCGCGATTTATTTCCGACGAGTGTGAGCAAGCTCGAATGTTGCATGTTCGTCGTCCTGTCAACTGACATGTATTGGAATACCTTCTAGATGCGTCAATATCGCCCTGTGTATGTCGAAGCCATGTCGTAACCACGTAATGCATCATATAACTGCGCCATATAGGGGCACACAATCTCGGGACAGTCGGTTACTCCTACAGCAGCAAGGTCAACGACATCATCGCCACTCTCAGTCGCAAGTTCGGCCTGTTCGAGCGGAGTCTATTGCCGTAAGCCTCAGCCATGTACTGGTCGTATTCGGAGGCTAACTGTTTTGATTCGGATTCGTGCCTTCATCATGGTATGCTCAAGACTCATCAATGCTAACGACTGGAATGCACGACGGGACTTCATCTTTGCTTCCTTCAAGGACTGTAAGATGGACGAGATGATCAAGCTCCAACACGTCTCGTCAGGCGTTCCTATTTCCACCGGTCCGCCCAGCCCAGTCCGGACGGTGGTGTACTCCGAGTATTCCGACATTTCGTCCACCCTGAAATTCCAAGCTCCAGCATGGTTCCGGTCCAGCCCCTCCATCGACGCCGCTCCTACGTCGACCAATTCGAACGCTTCCTTAGCGCCTGGAGACTGGGAGGACCCAGCTCCAGAACACGAAGAGCGTCGCGAAGACCCAGCTTACGATGCCGGTGGAGAACAACAAGAAGAATTCACTCCCGAGCAAGTTCGTGCTGCCGCGATCATTTGCAAGGTGTGCCTCGCCTACTTGGGGCGGAAGAATTCGGAGAAGGCTGCATATGAGGAGAGCGTTCGCGCGACGTTCATGAAGTTCCGCAAGCGGACTCGCGGCAAAACCGTGTCCCTCAGACAGCGGGCGTATCATTACCTCTACCTAGGGCCCGTCCCGCACCTCCTCGTCGCCGTTGAGGGGATCAAGAATCTGCTCCTCGCCCAGCAATCGGACGCGAACAAGGAGCTCGTCCGGTCAAAGGACCACCTCGACTTAGAGAAGTTGCAGGACACCTTGAATACCGCACGGTACGTCGCGCTCTTAAAAGCGGGCGAAGTGAAAGAAGTCGGCTAATTTACCTTGTTTTTACCTTCCATCGTACAGCGCAAAGTTCAAGGAAGCGGATCGCATTCTCAGGGCACTCGTCCCATCGGCCGAGGTCCACGATCGTGGAGACCCTGCGATGCTCCGTCAGTATGCGCTTGCTGCTCAAGCTCTCGTCGCTCGAGTCGACTGTTCTGGGCAGGATGCCACGGAGGCTTCCCGATGGAAAGAATGCATTGAGTTGACTCTGCGATGTGTGCGGAACTACGAGAGGGGCATCTCGCAGCCGATGATCAGATCTCTGGTTCGAGGGTAGACCTGCCATGTATGCTATGCCATCGGATGTCTGGACGGATGGTCCTCATGTATGCTATCTGTGTATGTTGTCTCAGCTTGTCAGTCGTTTATCTATTGCTGTACCATACCTCACTCACACATGTGCCGATGTCGATTCAAGAGGATCGAACGATGGTGAGAATGAAATGCAGGGATATCATTGCGTGTGCAGAGCAGGTCCGTGATGGTGCGTGTACAGGTATCTGGTGACTACATATACTACAGTCCACAGCAGCGCGCTTAAGCGAGCTCGGCAAAGCCGACCGCGGTGTCGTCGAACGAGAACGCAGTGTACACGTTCTTCATGAACGCGTCGCCGAGCAGCCAAACCTCGTCTCCAAGGCCGAGGTCCTGCCCGAAGAGCGCACCGACGCACTCCCCGGATCCGCTCTCAGTCTCGCCGAGGTTGAAGCTGTTGAGAGAAGAGAGAGCAGAATGCGTCAGCTTCAGGCGCAGGCAAAGAACCACAAGAATGCGCACTTGTCCTCGGTGACCTCCCACTGCTGGCCGCCCCAGGAGAACGCGACGGTGGGGAGCGAGCCGCACGGGTACGAGTACTCGCCCTGGGAGGAGTCGACGACGGCGGAGCCGGAGATCGCCTTGTAGAACGTCTTGACCGCCGACGGCGGGCCGTACATGAGGGTCGTGCCGGAGTCGATGATGGTGTCGAAGCCGGAGACGGGGGTCTTGCTGCCCGCGGAGATCTCCGCGCCGGGGATCTGCCAGAAGCCCTGGGAGTTGTCGACGTCGTGGAACTCGAGCGAGCCGGAGTAGAGGTCGCTGTTGGTGCCGCCGAGGTAGAGCTCGGAGCCGGTGGAGGCGAGGTAGAAGCCGAAGACGCCGGAGTCGACGGTGCCCTGGTCGACCGCGGTGTTGAAGAAGGGGTTCTGCGGGTTGGGGTGAGTATGTGGAGATCGAAGGGCGAGGACGTGGGTACGAACCTCCCCAAGGTTGGAGATCGAGGAGAACGCGAGGCCAAGGATGCCATCGATTGGGTCGGAGCTGAAGCTGCTCGAGAGCGTGGTGACGGCGGAGAGGTACTGCGACTTCGCGGTGACGCCCGCGACCTTGACGGTGTCGGTGTAGATCGGGCCGGAGACGGTGGAGCCGTCGCCGTACTCGATCTCGAACGTGCCGCTCTTCTTCGAGCTCGTGGAGGACGACGAGCTCTTGTACGTGTCCTTCTTCTTGCACGTCGAGCTAGTGCACGAGCTCGAGGGGACCCAGAGGTCGGATGAGCCGGTGTCGAAGTCGATGAGGAACGACTGCGCGGGCGTGCCGATAGAGATCTTGCCCGCCCACTCGGTGTCGTCGTCCTCGTCGGTGAGCGACTCGCTCTGGCGCTTGGCGAGGAGATGGTCGGGGATGACTGCGAGCGGCTTGATCTCCGCGCCCTGCTTGAAGACGTGCGAGCCCACGTTCTTCTCCAGGTTCATCAGGTTCGCACGGTGCTTGCTGCATCGGTGTGTTAGAACAAACAGAAGAGACGACGGCGGTCGGCGTACTTGATCGTCTTAATGGTCTCGATCTGAGCCTTGTCAGCGTTGAAGGTGCCGTCCGCGTTCGTCACGGAGGAGCGCTTGGTGAAGGGGACGGCGACGCCGCGCTTGGTGGTCGCGAGCGGGCTGGCGGACGCCATGAGGGCGAGCGCAACGGTGACCAAGGTAGCCTTGCAGAACATGTCGGCGTCGAGTGAACGAGCTGAGAAGTTGAGAGGTTCTGAGGGCTGGTGCGGGAGGTAGGGAACAGGAAAAGACCTGGTGAGGATCCAGCAAGGACGTTGGTCCGTCTTTATACTGCCGCATCGCTCTGCTAGTGATGAGGTGGGTATAGGCAACCATCACATGAAATGGTATGGACGACGCTGGAGGGCAATGCGGGGGAGCGGCGATTGTGCTAAACTTAGACGGTGCTGTGTTTAGCCAACTAGCG